TGGACATGTCAAGTTTTCTTAAGCACGCCATGGGTCCTTATATTCTATTAACCTTTAAAGTTGGCGCCTTAGAAAAATTGCAGGGCGACTAAAATATGCATTGGCGACTAAGTTTCTTTGATAAGACGCCAGCTGGCGCCTAAATTTTAGAGGCCACTTAGAGGCCTGTATTTGCTGACAAGGTCATTGTATCGACCATATATAGAACTTACGAAATGAGGACTTAAAACGAGACTGTTGATACTCGTGTTTCATCAACTTGTTTGTCAATAACTTACCTCGTTTTAGAAATTGTTCATACATAGAGCATGCTCTTGTGTATCGAATCATCGAAGAGATATATACCCCGTATGCTGGTGATAATATATTGCTACCTAAGTAAGGGAAGTTGACGATTGAAAAAATTAAAGTCATCACGTTTATCATAAAGCTTAGTTGTTGGGTTATGATTAGCGTCTTTTTTCTAGTAAAATAACCAAATATGAAACAGATGTGTCAGAATCTGTGGTATCTTTTATTTCAAGCTCACTGGAATATATCATGTCGACATATGAATGGAAACAACTATTGTTAATTGATAATACGTCGTTGATATATCTAAATGTCTAGTTGAAGGAAACAACAAGTGTTTTCTTCTTCTGATGTATAAGGTTTTTAATACATTCCGCTTCATATGAATACAAAAATAGATCTGCTAATAATGGGGAGCAGTTGGTAACCGATGGGAATTCCAACAGATTGTCGGAAGACTTGGTCTCCAAAAACCACATAGATATTGTCAATCAGAAACTCAAGCAACTTTTTTTAATATCAACTTTATGGTACTTGTGTGTACAATCAGAATGTTTTTTAACAAAATAATTTTGCAAGTTTTGACCAATGACAAGGTAAATAAGTTTACGAGTTCTAATTTTATTGCAAAAGCAGCTCTCAGTGATATCAAAAAGACTGGACTTAAATTTATCGTGGAGAATGGTTGTATATAGAGTTGAAAAGTCGTGAGTTTTGATGTCATTGATTTTGATAAAATTTTGTGATTACAAATTTTCCAAAAGTTCCCTGGAATTTTTAAGAATCCACATCGGATTTACATCACTTCTCGTATATAGAACGTTTACTGGAACTCGCTATGTATCTTTGTTTGTAAGGATTTTTACGAAGTTTCGGAATCCAATATAAATATGGTAATACATATTCATTACGGTTGCTGGGAATATTAAAAATATTTAAAACTGACATATGATTTTGAGGAATTTTCTCCCTAGAAAGGGAGCTATGAGTACAAGTTGGATTATCAGTTGTAGAATTAAATCCCAGTTACTCTAAAATACTAAAATACAATTCAAAAAATGCGCTTTAAAACAAAGACAATGTTGTTACCTGCTTAGCCAGGTGGGACCAGAACATACTGATCGTGTGTAGTCTAATTTTTTTTCACTTCTGAATTATTAAACATAGAAGGATAGATGATTTTCATATTGCCTTTCAATCGCCTAATGCAAACTTTTAACATACATCTGATACACTTAATCCATTCTGACAAAGTGTCAAGGTCATTTTCTTGTCTGGTCTATCACCTGACGTAATCTTCCACAGAATTCATAAAATTTATGAAATTATGAAGACAGTTGAAAGATCGGGGTTCTCTAAATTTTGGTCCTTTTAAAATAAGTAATATAAGGTTCTTGTTAATAATTATATTGACGTAACCAGTAATAACGTGTCCAGCAGGACTTTACTTGTAGGGTGAAGAAGAACATGAACACTATGGAGGATTATGTTTCAGATGTTCGTTTTCTAGGCTCTGTAGAGTTTTATTGTAATTAAAAAGATTGGAAGCAATAGTCAATGTATATTTGTAAGAAATACAAGGTGTAGTCTTCGACAGGGCTAAGAAGTCTCATCACATTTAAATTGCTACACTGTGGACTGGTAGCACAGTTTGAATCTGGTCGTCACATTGTCATCTGTGGTATGTGTGAAAACTGCTTCTGAGAAAATATAAATTTACTGACGAACGGACAGTATTCAAGCTCAAAAGTCCATTTAAAGGTGCAAATAAGATGTGGATTCTCAAAAATTCCAATGAACTGTCTAAAATTTAAAATAGCCACATTTTTCAAAAGTCAGTAACATCAAAACGTACGACTTTTCTTCATTTAATAAAACCATTCCTCACGATGTTTTTTGATATCATAGACAACTGCTTCAATAAAAATGGAAGAATTTTTCATATTTTGTGATTGGTCATCAACACAATTACTTTGTTAAAAATCACTCTGATTCTACACATAAGTACTGTGAAGTTGATATTAAAAGATGCTGAAGTTCCTCATTAACAACATTTATGTTGTTAAATGTTGTAGTGATGTCATGAAGATATAACTATCTACAAATCTAATAATGATTAGTACGCATGTTTGATTAAAAATATATACTTTCAACTTTGACTTGTGACAACTTGTCATTTTCCTGCAACATCTTTGACACAGTTCTGTTAATTTCTGTACAACGATCAATATGTGTTTTGTTATTATGTTGTAATTTTCAGTCTCGTGTTTCAGTCTGATGGGAATTGAAACTGACAGATCCATCATTTCTTTTGTTGTTTACAATATTCTTGAGAAGTGTATTTCATTTCAACATGACATTTCTGGATTTTCCGGTGGTTCAAAAATTAAGAAAGCTTTTTTTAGTCAAAACAGAAAATCCCATAAAAGACTTCAAAAAATTCATCATCGGCATTTCTTATTATGAATCTAATGCTTCTTGTCTCCTGGCTTAAGGTCATGGATCCTCGGGGGAGGAAAAATATTGAACAAAAATTAAATCCTGATGCGTACAACAACCATCACGATCTGTCACGCTCCAGAAAACCAACTTGACCATTGCAAAAATATCAATAAATAGCTTTTAATCATTCAATGGATTTCGAAAAATAACTTTTTTCCATCGGGGGTCATGTTAGAACATCTTAAAGATGCTGGATGCAAGTTTTTTGTGACAGAACCAAAATATGAAAAGTTGATGACATTTCTCAATTTTTATATCTTTATTTTAACATCCTCACAATGTCAGGGGTCCTGTGTCAACTAATTGCCGATGGTCAACGGCAACGAGTTAACACAGAACACAGGGTCCCTGGTTGTATCTTTTGAAAATGATGTAATGTTCTCTCTAGTCAAAGCATTATGACGTCATGAAATGGGTAATTTTTCCAAATCCTTAAAATTCCTTCAAGAATAGCCTTAAGTTTTAGTATTTTTTTTATATTTCATATAGAGCACAACCTCTGATCTAATATGTACAATTATATAATGAAAGATCTGTTTCTGAAGATTATTAAATACGTGTTATTTTTTGGATCGAGAGGTGTGCTCACATTTTAATTATTTGATGAAGGTTCTCAAATACTCCTGTTTCTGCAAAATTCAAGAACAGTCTGTTTCACAGACTATTTTCCAATACCTGAGTCTTAAAAGAAACCGTTATAGGAAATGAAAGCACTGTCTCAACTTTATTTTGATGTTAGAAATCGGACAAAGGGTGATAGTCAATAAATTGGTATGAGTAAACGGCTTTCATGCATAGAGTGAACCTAGCTCTTCCTGTTTAACACTTATTTTTTTAATTTCTGACATTAATGCAAGTATTGAAAAAGACTGAAAGGAATAAAAATAATGTGTCCCTGTTAAGTGTAACGCATTACACGCAATAAAATATTCAATGATCAAGAAAAGAATCTCCTGATGTGTTTAACATCATGTAACACAAAGAATAAGTTACGCAAAATGAGAAAGAAAAGTCCGTGATATCAAATATTCTAATTTTTCCTGTCTAAAATATTTGTTCCAGCTGCTCTATTAATTAGGCTTTTGATAATGTCTGAGAAAATAAAGGAGAATCCCCTAGAGTACTCAGCAGTTAAGACACCGCAGACAAAGTTAAGACACCGCGGACAAAATTAAGGGAGATCAAGTCATTTTTTCCTCTAATAAGAAGAAAATTATAGGTATTTTTTCCGATTTGAAATAAGAACAATTTCAATGATGCCTTTATGGGATATATTGCAAAATGTATTCCTATCAGGAGAATCAATTAACAAATGATATATTCTTTGATAAGTCATACACAAAACAATACTTTGAATGAAGCCGGTGCTTTTTTTCTCTCTTGTCAGAATGCCGACGAAGTTAATTCATATCCATTCTTTATCAGAGTTGATTAAATGATAACAAATTAATGGAGAATAATTAATTCTGTTAGGGTGTAGGTAATAAAATATAATCTATCCCATAATATGAATGAGAGTGTACAAGGTCGCCGGGATGTAAGTATAAGATCAGACATTCTCTATTTTCTAAAAAAAATCCATATTTACATAGATTTCTTAAATATGTATTTTTAAGAGAATAAAAAGGAATAAAAAGAATTGAGCTAACAATTACATGTACTTCCATGTAAATTGCAATTAAGCTGTGTCACTGCTGTGTAGAATTTGTAATACGCATGCTAATGTTAGTGTTTTACACTGGATTAGAAATTAGTTTACAAGATGTGTTCGTTGAAATCTTTTTTAATATGTATATCTTTAGTTAAAGTTATCTGTTGTTTATTGCTATAGTTCTGATTGACATATGATAGTTAATTTATATTTCTTGAATGTTTATTAATGGAAGCATGACGTCTCTTAATAAAAGACTGGAGTGTTTTAAAAGTTAATGCATATATTTGTGTGTTCTAGGGTTATAAATCAACCAAAATATCCTTGGTGAGGAAACAATAAATTCTTCTTAGTTTATATGACTAAAATTATGTGCGTGTCATAGGATAAAACAACCAAGATCATAGTCTAAGAAGTCCTTTCTTTTTGCAGGTGTCATTGTGTGGAATATTTTCCTATCTCCCAGAAATACAAAATGTCTGTCGAATTCCCAGGATAGGAAGGAGAGCTTGACAGAGAACGTGAGTGTTTATCCTAGGAACCAGATAAATTGTGAAAAAGAAAAAAAGGATAATGAATGGGTGCAGTACGGATTTGAATGATTTTTTGTTGGAATTCAATATCACACGAATTATTTCAGAGAAAATCATGGCTCATAATAATTTTCTTTACTACACATATGGGATAGCTTTGTCGATTGTAATCAGCATTGGAATACCCGGAAATTGTTGTGCTTTAGTTATATTAATGCATCGAACACTACAGAGTTCCCCTGTAAGTATTGTAAAAGCTTTGACTATTCATGGTATCATTAACATGTGCTATTCTATCTATTTGGATATAATTCCGTCAATAAAAATGCACAGGGAAACAGAAAATTTAGATAACGATATCATGAATACTTTGTGGCAAAACAAATGTAGAAGCAATTTTTCCTTGTTACCTCCATATATGGGTCATATCGATGTCTTTGTAAACACTACTAATTCACTCCTAGCCCAAATGAAGCCAGTATATGACCAATTAGTGAATGGGAGCTTTATCAACGGACAACGGTCATGTATTATCGAAAATTGCATCTCTCAAACATCTCCTGGTCAAGTGCCAAATAAATCGATATCAAATTATGATCCACGGGTGGATTTTCCATCTTCTTCCCTTTCCAATTCTGACAACTTTACCACGGATAAGGATATTGGCTATTTCATCGAAAAGGCTGTGGAAAGATTTATCGGATATTTCCTCGTCAATGTTGGGTTATTGATCACCTTTAGTCTCGCAATAGAGAGATGCATTGCGATTTACTTTCCTTTTCAGGCGGTTAGATGGCTAACAATTCGAAAGACCAGAGTTTCTTTAGTGGTAATACTTTTCGCTTGCATGTGTGCACATCTTCCACAAATGATCAAGGAAATCTCTATAGCGAACTCAAACCCCTCACAAATAAATGGAGATGACAGTGAAATGTTTGTTGATCCAATTCGACAAGAATATGAAAGATTTTATGCCCTGATTAGTCTCTTAATTTGCGTTGCAACATTCAGTTTGAATATTACAGTGTTAGTTAAACTGATTATTCTTCACAGGAAGTTGAAATACTGCAAACATCTAATAAACGCGGAGCGGACAGAAATCAACATTACGGTAGCAATTGTTGTTCTGATCTTTTTCCAACTGCCATTTCATGTAATGGCAGCAACCATCGCTTTTATTCAATCAAGCTCCGTCATTCAAAATGTGAATTCGTTCATTCAAGCCACAGTATTTATTCGATTCTTTTTCATCTCTCAGTCTGCCTTAAACTTCATAATTTATTGTATCCTCGCTAGAAACTGCCGAAAAGTCTGCAGAATTCTTTTCAGAAAACTGTCCCTTAGTTTTACAAGGAAGACCACAAGTCTAACTCATCAAGATGACAAAATGCATGAAAGAATTCGAAGAAATTATTCACATTCATTAACAACGGTAAAGGCAACGGAAAAAGATGACGTTCATGTTCGAACAAATCCATTAGATGAGATATCTTTGCACACATTGACTGGTCACAACTACCGAAAACACGTTATAATCGAGGACAAACACAGAGTGTGCAATGGTTCCGTGAAAATGCACTGTGTGTAGAACTAAGCCCAATAAAATAACATATGGCAATTTGTTTTAAATCCTTTTTGTGATTTAAGTACATGTATATCAGTGTCTTCATATTTTATTATGTTTTTTTTTTAAATTTCTTGAATACATGTACCTCTAAAGTTATGTGATATCATCTTTTTATACTGTAAAGGACAAAAGTTTTTTACTATTAAGTTAATATTAAATTTCTGATGGTCAATGAGACAAAGTTCTTAAATATTTAAGATTTTACGTCAGAATTAATATGTTATGTCGTCCTTCTTTATAACAGGTTGATATCTATTAAAGTTTGGATTATTTTTAACAAAATTCCTACATAATCTTATTGATTGTGTTATGATCATGTGTTCCTTAATAACTTAGAACACACGGCGATAGTGACCTGTCGGCAGATGATGCTTACTCCTCCATGGCACCTGATCCCATATCTAATCTCAGAGGTCTGTGTTGTCTCTGTTCATAATTTGTATTATTTAAATGGACTTTTGAGAATGAAAACTGTTATGATTGTTGTCTTAACATTTTATTCCTTCATCTTGAAAATGATCAAGAAAGTGGATATATTGAATTTCAGTATCACAATAATACCATACTAACTTTAAATATTTAAAAATGATTTTAACATTCCAGTTAACGAAGGTGGGTTCGATCTACCCTTCCTATACTAGATTCCTACACCTCATAAAAATCTGTACAAACAAAGATACATTGCAAGATCCTACAAGCGCCCTTCCAAGCTCCTATCTTTACTTCTTACAAAAATATTAACTGTTGCAGCATATTCTAGAAGTGGTGTAAATTAAATGTGGATTCTCAAAAACCCCAAAAACTTTTAGAAAATTTAAAATCACAAAATTTTTTCGAAAGTTAGTAATATTAAAACATACGTCTTTTCTACACTTAATACAACCATTTTTCGCGATAAATTAAAAACTAGACTTTTTGATATCATAAACAACTGCTTCTTCAATAAAACTGGGGTGCAGGAATTTTGGCATCTTGTGATTGGTCATCAAAAAATTACTTTGTTGAAATCAATCTGATTCTGCACACAAATACTCTGAAGTTGATATTAAAAGGATGCTGGAGTTCTTCATAGACAATATCTATGTAATCTTTGGAGACCAGGTCTTCCAACTAACTGTTGGAATTCGGATGGATACTAACTGTGCTCTTTCATTAGCCCGTCTGTTTTATAGTCTTATGAAGCAGAATTTATTCAAAAACTTCTACATGAAAAAAAAAAAGAAAACACTTGTTGTGGCCTTAACTCGATATTCAGATGCATCGACGACGTTTTATCAGTTAACAAAAGTTACTTCCATTTATATTTCGGCTCGATATATCCCAGTGAACTTGAAATAAAAGACACAAATGGTCTGCCACATCTATATGATATTTGGATAATTTACTAGATATAACGATTAAGGCCAAATAACAACTGATTTGTATGACAAATGAGATGACTTCAGCTTGTCATCGTCAACTTTCTTTTATGAAGTAATATTCCGCTGTCACTTCATATAGTGTTTATGTCTCCAAACTTATTTGATACTAAAAAGTATGCTCGGAGTACGATTAATTTTTAAACCAAGACTACTTACAGATAAGTTGATGTTACAGGGATTTCAACACCTCATTTAGAGTCAGAATTTCGTTATAATGACCCTGTTAGCAAATACAACCTATCACCGGGTTTTACTTTGACTGACATATTTCATAACAATTGTTAGGCCTTTATTTTTATACTGAATTCTTTCTACCTGATCAATACATAGGACTCGGGGCGGGTGTGACCAGTCGACAGGGGATGCTTAAAGATACTTCTATTAGGTATCAGATCCAACCTCTGGAATTTCCAGGGGTTTTATGCCCTGTTTACAGATTTGTAATATTTTTATTTTTTGTGATCGATCACTGTTTGCTGTCTTCACCTTTCTCATTTGTACTTAGATAAATTGAGTTAGATTTTTCTGATAATAATACATTGAAACTTTCTATTTGTGTTGATATATATCCGATATCTTGAAAGCAGCATAGATAAAATTTTGGTATATTGATTTAAAAATTATTTGTACTAATCATATTTGGGAATGCTGGAAAAATTTAAACAACAACAAAAGAGATAATTTTCAGCTTAAACATAAATCTGATCCAAATAAGAATTTTTACCAGTTTTTTAAGCTGAATATATGATTCATGATTTGATATATAATAGCAAGTTACAAAAACAGGTAAATTTACTTTTTTGTCATATAACAAGTATATTTAAAGGTCTTTTAAGATCAAATTGTGCTGCCCGTGTTACACCAAATTCAAAACGTTGTGTTTATCATATGGATTCTTTAAAAACTCAAAAGAACTTGACAAAATTTTGAAGACACAATCGGAAATTTTCATATCTTGTGACTAATCATCTACTCTTGTGACTGGTCATCTACAAATCTTCTGTGTTGAAAATCATTATGATTCCACACACAAGTACCCTGAAGTTGATTAAAAAGATGCTTGAGTTCCTCATTGACAAAAACGGTCAGGGTCTTATGTCAGGGAAGATAACTAAGAAATATAGAAAAATAAGATGTCCGGTTAAAACTCTCAAGACTCACCGAGATTTAAATGGCAAAACTAAAGTGAAAGACCGAATACATTGTGGAAATTCAGGTTAAGTCCAACCATATTACTTGGGTAGGACCAACCGTTTAATTGTGCAATGAATTGTGCAATGCGTTGTATAGAAGAAATGCTTAAACTTGCCTTGCAAAGGATGCTACAATATTTATATGCATTACTTGTGGTATGAAATCAATATTTAAAAGAAATCTTTTCCAAACAAGAATTAAAATTTTCAAATTATTATGGAAGTGTTCTCATGCAGAGATATTCTTATTTGTGTAAATTATTGCTCTGTTGACCAAGTGGAGATAAATCGGGACTCCCAAGGTTTTCAAATAGGTAAATAAAAAGAATACATGTGACTCGAGAAAAAAATCACATAGTGAGGCTTTGATGATTGTTAAGGCTTATGGACTTCTCGGTTTAGAGTGGACGTTTTTGGCCTTCGGTGATGTCGTTTTTAGTTTTGAATAAAATTTCTCCTTAATTTGGGTTGGAATATCTTTTTGTGTGGGTTGTTAATTCTTTTCATTATTCTGTGGACTTGAGAATGTTTAAATAAAGTTAATTGATTTTTATTTTTATCAGGAATATAAAATATTCTTATACCAGTCCTAACGAACCAGATGTAATTCTCCATAATAAAAACATATCAGAACATGTTATCTCACTAATAACGTCATTAAACCTAAGCATCAATACAAAACATTTCAGAGCTATACTGGAACATACCAGTAATCTATAGAAGCATGATAGCCTTATAGTCCTCTTAGGAATTTACATATGAGCTCAATATTGCTATCTAAAAAGAGGGACATAAATAATTTTTGAGGGTTTTTTTTTATGAAAGTGATTTTGTTTCATTTAGATTAATCAATAGAGAGGTTACTGACTTCAAAGGGACAGACGGACATTTTGTAGAAAACATTCACGGTCTCTCATTTTACCAATGTCTTTAAACTTTATTTAAAAGGGTTTTTAAAAGGGTCTAGATATCCAGTTCAATGCAAGATTAAACACTTAAAATCATTTCAATTAATTTATTTTAGTTTCAAAATATTGTTGAAGACATATGGAGATAACGAACAGTATTCAGGCTTAAAGTTAATTAAAACAATACAAATCGGGAGGAGAACAAACATGTATCTCCAAAAAAAATCAGAGGTGGGATCAGGTGCCATGAAGGAGTGAGCATCCCATGCCGACTGGTCACACCCGCCGTGTGCTCCTTATCATGATCCGGAAATAACGGAAAAATCTGTCGACAATTCAGTGTGTAAATAGTGGCCTAATAATTAGTCTAAAAAACGTCATCAGCATATGACTTGAGGATAGATTGCATTTGCTGACAAGGTCATTGTATCCACCATAGAACTTATGAAATGATGACTTTAAACGAGACTGTTGATATTCTTGTTTCATCAACTTGCTTGTCAATAACTTACCTCGTTTTAGATATTGTTCATACGTAGAGCATGCTTTTGCGTATCGAATCAACTGAGAGATATACACCCAATATGCAGGTGATAAGGGTACATGTATATTGCTGCATAAGTAAGGAAAGTTGACTATTTAAAAGCTAAAGTCATCACGTGTAACATAAAGCTTTGTTGCTAGATTACCATTAGCGTCTTTTTCTAGTAAAATATCCAAATATGAAACGTATGTGTCAGCTTCTGTGGTATCTTTTATTTCAAGCTCACTGGGATATATCGTGTCAACATATGAATGGGAATATTAATTGTTAATTGATAATACGTCCTCGATATATCTAAATGTCGAGTTGAAGACGACAGCAAGTGATTTTTTCTTCTTCTGGTGTATTATTTTGAATAAATTCTGTTTCATTTGAATACAAAAATGGGTCTGCTAAGAACGAGGCGCAATTGGTACCCATGGGTATTCCAACAGATTGTTGGAAGAACTGGTCGCCAAAAACCACATAGATATTGTCAATCAGAAACTCAAGCATCTTTTTAATATCAACTTCAGAGTACTTGTGTGTACAATCAGAATATTTTTAACAAAATGACCAATGACAAGGTAAGTATATATACGAATTCCATTTTTTTGAAAAAGCAGCTTTCAATGATGTCAAAATGCCTGGACTTTAATTTATCGTGGAGAATGGTTTATACAGAGCTGAAAAGGCGGAAGTTTTTATGTTTTTAATTTTGGTAAAATTTTGTGATTTCAAATTTTCCTAAAGTTGCTTGGAATTTTTAAGTATCCAAATCTGATTTACACCACTTCTCAAATATATTGTTGCACAGTACTCCTGTAGTTTCTCCTTCACTACTGTTAATATCTTAGTGAGGAATAAAGAAAGAGGCTTGGTGAGCCTTACAAACAAAGACAACGTTGTTACCTGCTTTGTCAACTGGGACTAGT